AGCTTCTAAGATCTCTATGTTAGGAAAAGCCAAACTGAATATACTGGCTATGTGTTGTCTCAGTGCTGGTTTCTGGAATGTTGCCGGGTCCTCCCCCACCCCCATTCCTCCAAACCCTTTAAAAATATGACTATTTTTGAAGTGCAGCCGGAGGAGGGAGCAACCAAGGGTTTGGAACGATAATCGCCCTTCTCCACACATTCAAGTTCCCAGACACTAGGTGAACTACGTCCTTTTCCGGGGCGGGGCCAGCTGTCCTCCCCAAATTAGCTGCGCAATTTTCCTCCTGGGACTGGGAAGCTTTTTTCTGCCATCTAGGGCGGCTCACCCGCAAACGGGTGGGGGTGGCGTCTGCCTCCTTCGGTGCAAACAACAGGAAGCAAAACCTATCTAGCTTCGCCCAGACCCTAGAATACCACATCAGGAGACCTGGGAGCTGGAAGGGTCCCAGACAGCCTCGGGGTAACCCAAAGTCCCGAAGAGCTCTTCTCCTGGAACTAATCCCAAGAGCACAAGGGACAGGCTGGATTTCTTGTCAATTGTGCGGTCTGGGTCTGGGGATACATCCATACAGGAACTGAACTGTGCCCCGAAAAGACCAACTCTCGCCTGACTGGCTAGTGTGTGCGTATTTGGGGCGATGACGGCCCGTTTTTAGGAAAGGGTACTAGTTTCCCGGTTGGGTGAAAGTCACTGACCATTGACTCTCGGGAAAGTCACGTCCCCGCTCTCCTCTGCCCATTCCTTCCCCCCACCCCCCCGCCCTTACAACTCCGGTGAAAAGCGCGCGCCGAGCCTCCCAACACCGTCACCACCTCTGGGCTCTCGGCCAGGGGCGCGCAGCTGCGCCCTTTCAGTGCCGGGGGCAGTGCCTGAGACTTCCTACCGCTTGCCGGAGGAGCGCCAGGCTGCGCCGCGGCACCCGCCACCCGCGGTGGACGCGTAAGGGCACGGGGGAGAGAACTGCCAGCTGCAAAGCCGGGCAGCGGGGGCCGGAAGGGAGCGGGGCGCTGGGAGACAGGCGGGGCAGGCAGTCCCTCCGCCGCTACGCCTTGTCGTCCACGAAGTCGGCCAGCTCCTGGAGCACTCGCAGGCGGCCACTGGCGTCGATGCGGCGCTTCTCACGGATGAGGTCTTCCAGGCTGTGAAACCTGGCCGTGTGCACTTTGTCCTCCCCCAGGTGCACCTTGAGATAGTACTGCTGCTGCGGGGGCTGCGTGCCGGCCGGCACCTCCCCTCCGGCTTTGAACTCCCGCTTGCCAAAGCGGCACCAGGCGGCGAAGCTCTCCGAGTTCGTCCAGCAGATCTCCTCGCTTTTGAGGCCCAGGTGGCCGCAGGCGTTCTGCACCACCAGCTCGGCCACCAGCGGGCGGTAGCGGTACCAGCTATTCACCACCCGGCCCACGTTGGCCGCGCCCGCCTCGTACAGGCTGTCCTGGCGGATCTCGCCTTGATGCAGGTGGATAATCTGCCCGCCGCCCACGTAGACGGCCCAGTGCGGGGCGGGTGCGGGCGGCTCCGGCGCGGGCTGCAGCCACAGCAGCTCCAGTAGGTCGCCGGGCTCGCAGAGCGCGGGCAGCGCGGTGACCGGGTAGACGCTCAGGTCGGCGCCCTGAGGGCCGCCGGTCACTTTGGAGAAAATGCATTCCTGGCCCCGGAAGGCGGAGAACTGAGTCTCGTTGAGGACTAGCTGGTGCAGCAGGTGGTGGTGATGGCGGCTAGGGCTCTCTGGGCAGGGAGTGCAACCTGGGGGTGCTTTCACGCCAAACTTGTCCGCCTGCCCGCGTTCGTCCAGGTCCTCCTCCTCATCCGAGAAGAAGTAGGCGACCCCGACCCGCAGCTCGTCTTTCTCAATCCCCGATGGGTCCCCTGTGGGCAGCTCGCTGTAGTTGAGGTGGGTGATGCGGTCCAGTTGGTTGCCCATCAATGACGCGGCGAGACGAGGGCCAAGAACTGGGATCTGCGTAAGAGAAATAGGCACTATCAGAATCGGGGTGACCCTCCTGGCGTCCCTCCCCAAGATGTACAGTTCCCTTGGGACCTGCCGCCTGCCCAGGAGACTGCAACTAGAGTCACCTGCGCCAGCTGAGTTCTCTGTCTCTCCCTGGAGTGTGTGTGTGTGGGGGGGTTGGGGGGGTACGCAGAAGAAGCCACCAGTCGGCGGGCCATAGAAGACGACACTATTCAGTCTCCGATCCTGTCCAGGAATCCGGTGTAACTCCCGCAAAAGAAAATGCAGGCGGATGGAGAACGTGTGAGATTCCAGTGGGGAGGAGAACTGGGGTTGTGGCAGCATGCAGGAGGGACGCCACCGAGAAAGGACCAAAGGGTTGTGTTGGAAGGGACTGAAAGGGCGCCTAGGGCCTCAGAACTCAGAGCAAGCTCTGCTCACATTTCGGTCCCAATCTTCCCCAGCTCACCTCCTAGCTTTGTACTAGGTCGCACCCAACCCTGACAGTGACTCTCACAATAACTGCACACATTTACAGGCATTGACTTGACCCCAGCAAAATTTTGCACACTTGGAGTCCAGATACTCACAGGCTGGTACGTACACCCACAACGATAATGTCACACACACCCACAATGACAAACCTTAGCACTGGCACACTTAAAACCCCCCACATTCGTACACAATTCCAGACCTGCGTTGGCACACTTGCCAATGCACGTACACTCAAAACGCCCGGGCACACCTGCTCACGCAGGCAGGTGCACTCTGCCCCTTACTTTGCTTGCCTTCTCTCCAGCAGAGCCAATCGGACTGCGCCAGGGCGAGGCTGCTCTGTCTAAAATAACCTAACAAAGAGACAGGGGAAGGTAGGGGAAACCAGTGAGGGGCATTAGTGCCGGTGGATTGTATGTGTGTGTCTGTGTGGTCTGTAGAGGCCCACTTTCAGCTAAAAAGATCCCCTCTCCCTTCTACCCAGAACACAATCCAAACAATCGAACGAAGAAAAACCATTTCCAAGGCAAAGAAAACCGGTTCTCCGTACCCGTGATTTCCCTGCTCCCGAAACCCCAAACTCCTTTAAAGTCTCCTCGTCCCCATGGGTGCTGCGGAAGCGGCGGTAGCGAGTGAGTCCTGGTCGGCGCGTGGGGTTGCAGCTCAGCTCTATCCCGCGCGGAGCCGTGCGGTGCGGTGCGGTGCGGTGCCCAGCGCGGTGTGGGTGCGCTAGTGTCTACGCTGGCTGGGGCGCTTGCTCCACCTGGCCAGTCCCGGCTCGGCTCTGCTTTCCTACAGCCGCGCGGAAGACTCTAAGTAGCCCGAACAGCCGGTTCCAGGTTCCGCCCCAACACGCGCTCATTGGTTGGAGCAGGTGACCTGGGTCTGTCAATCTCCTCCGGAGGGGGAGGGATCGGGGGGCGGGTCTCCAGTCCAGTGCGCTCCACCCCTCCCTGCCCCCCTCTCCCACTCGCGAGCACACTGCCCACGGGAACGTAGGTGTGAGCGCCGGCTGGGAGCGCGCGAGGGGCGTGGCGCTCCTGTACCGCGCTGCTGCGCTCCTCCACCCGCGGCCCCCAGCAACTCCGAGCTGATTGAAACTGAGAACACAGTCCGCCTGCGTTCGGTGTTCCAGCAGGAAAGCTGAGTCTGGGGGTGGGAAAAAAAAAAAGAAAAAAAACCCCAGCGCATCCAGCGTGGCCCAGGAACTGCGAGTGGCTGGGGAGTGGGGGTGGGGGTGGGCAGGGAGCTACATTGTCTGAGGCGGGTGCCTGGGGCTATGTTGGGACCCCGGAGCCCTCCTGATGGCCCTTGGCTTGCAGACCCTTTTCCTGTCCAACACAGACACCTTTCAAATTCCGCTGATGGCAGTCAGAGCCTTTCCCTTGAGCCAAGTGAAACTGATGACCCAGCGTTTGCGCCTGATGGACAGAGCGGTGTCAAAAGCCACCCACAACTCTGAGCCTTGGCCGGCCCCTCTTCCTTGACTATGCCTGTGATTTTGTCCTTCCTTTTTCTGTGAAGGGGTTATATCATAAATGCTGACAGTAGGACACGAATGTTTTCCAATCCCCAGAACTGCCATTGCTAAGGGAATTTTGTTTTGTGGGAGAAGGGTGTCTGTCCGGCATGACTGCGTTTCTGGACCGAAACTCAATGAATGAATGTGCTCTGGATATTGGATGCTAAAAGATGGCTTTCACAGTAAGAAATTCTAGAGCACCGGTTTCCAAAGCCCTGCTACATTAAGCCTCAAAGAGTTCTTAAACTATCTGGTTTCAATCTTAATGTTACTTTTATATTTAAGGGTAGATTTCTATGAAGCCTTCTCTTTCTCCCCAGGGAGAATTGGATGTTTCCTTCCTCTTTGTGACCCCTGGGCAGCTGGTACAAATTCAGTGCGCTTTTTTCCTCTGCTTTATTGAAAAACTTGTGTTGACTTATCTCCTTACGAACTGAACTCCATGAGCAAAGTCTTGCACGCCACACAACTTTGCATTCTGGGCCTCTTTCCCAATGTCTGTCGAAGGATGGGCTCTCTATCTTTAGTAATAAAAAGAAGGAAAGTGAATAGTTATCACTTCCACCATGCTAAGAGGTTTAAGTAGATGATTTAATCCCCTTGTCTCTGTAGGATATTTGCTAATACCCAAATTGTAACAAATGAGGTAAGTGAGGTCCCAGTGCCAGCAATCTGTCAGGAGTTTCCAGAATTTGGGAAGTTTAGCCAGTTGTTAACCGAGCTCTAGTGTTTATTGATTGAATAACATATTGTATCATAACATGAGAAAACTGATGTTTCAGAGAAGTTAACTGGTCAACCCAAGGTTACTTATAGAATGATGTTGCTAGACTATCTGCTTGAATATTTTCAAACTGCTAAGTGCTTCCAGTTCTACCATCAAAGTCTCCAAATGAAATTATTTGTAAGTATTGCTGAAAAATGGCTTAAAATGATGATGCATATAATTTGATTTATTTTAATCTTTTCAGAAATTTGGCCATTGTCTACATGCAAGTTATTAGAAAACAAGTTGCCATCCTTGAAGCAGACCACACATTGCAATATACTTTTTAAAAATATATTTGCCATAAATAATAAACAACTGATTTTGGCCCTGAAGTCAAGAGAATTGAACAAGTAGCTTCTGAGATCAAGAAGTGAGTTATTGGCCTTGTTATAAACTGGAGATTGGGGATGTCTGGGAGGCGGATATCTGAAGAGTTCATTACTGATGTCTGAGAGGAGTGCATTGAAAGCAGCTCAGCACTTGACTCTGAATAACCTTTTTAACCCTCTCTCTATCACCAAGATCAAATCTTGCACACCAACATTACAGTCCTTTTTCTGTGTTCAGTCCTACCTGTCCTGTTCTGCACCGCTCCCAACTATGGAGTAAGCAGACTGTGTTCTTCTTTGGGTAGTATCCCAACACACTAAAAGATAATTAACATAAAATACTGCCAGTGCATGGAGACACTGTAGCTAAAATTTAAAATATCAATATGCCAACTTTTGAATCTCTCTTCCATCCCCTCTCCCCTGCCAGGATAAAAGGCTTACTGCTTTAGTAATCTCAAGGGAGAATAGATACCCTGGGGGCCCCCTTGAAATATAATGAGATTTGGGAAAGAAGGAAACAAAAAGAAAACATGATAATACATCTGCATTTTGTAGCCTTTTGGAAATTATAAAAATCATAAGGGAAGGAGGCCAATATTAGAAAATATTTATGTTTATCACAAAATTGTTTATGCATTTTTTTTGTCTCATAGTGCCTGCTTTTACACTGAGAAAATACAGTGTCAACAAAGGCTGAATACAGTCGTCAAAAGAGCAATTGGAAGCCAGCTAGTTTGAACTGTGCTTTAGCATTTAAGAGCTGAGTGACCTTGGGTAAGTTACTTGATATTTCTGTATGTCAGGGTTCTTATATATAAAATATAGATAATGGGATTGTGTCTGGTACATAGTGAGATGTCAGTCAATGCTACTTTATTATTCTTGGTAGAAGAGGGGAAATGATGTCATATCCTATTTGCTTATGACAGTTGTCTAGTCCTGTCTTTAACCCAGGCAAAAACTAGTGCTAAGCTATACCTGACTGGGGGTGAGGTGAGGTGGGACTGCTCCTATCTTAAGACAGTGAGAACTCTGTCTGTCCTTAGAATATTTTTAGTCCTAAGACTCTCTATAGATTTCTCTAGGTGAGCTCTGGGGCTGATCACATTTGGGGACTGAGAGAATTTTGAATCATTTTTAATTGAACATTTCCTGTTGTGAGTAACATGAATGGAAAAACTTAGGGAGCAGTGAGTAGGAAAGGGTCAGCTGTATGTGACCTTCACTATCGGTGCCATCTGGGTACCATCTTTCGTCTTTTCCTCTTTGTTCCTTCTTTAGCACTATAAGAAAGACTTCCTTTGAAATTTTTAGACCAGGTCCTTGGCTTGAACTATCATCCTTTAAAAATTGCCCTGGAGGAGAGGATTCAGAAAGAGTGTGCATTTTCCTTGAGTTGCTTTCCATTATTGTTTGCTTAGCAAGGTTTTTGCTTTTAATTATTTGTCCTACTTTAGCATTTATCCTTTAATGAAATGAATTATCCTTTTTCCTGTCCTTGGCTGCCTTAGGCAGTTAGTGTACTGACCCTGATCTGTGCTGAAGAATATTCTGTAACCGTCTAAGGCAGAGACCTTGTTACGGCTTACTAACTTCACTTCCCTTCCTTTGGGGCACACAGCAAAAAGCCTTATTCTCAGCCTTGAAACTGAGTTCTGGGCAAGGGAATGCTGTGGGAGTAAGCCACTCATACCTAGGCTGAGCTGAATAACAGGATCATCTGTGAATGTTTGTTTCCCACTTGACCATAGATAGAAAATCCGTGGTGGAACTCCTAGGAGCTAGTGGATAGAGGAACCTGTAGGTAGAAGGAGGCCAGGATTTCTGAATGACTATGTAAACACATATTGTCCTCTCCCAAACAAATGCATTAGTCTGTGGTAGGAAGAAATAAATCATACTCGGTTAAGCCCCTGGAAAATTTGTGGTTATTTGCAGTTAGTCTAGACTGGTAAACTCTTCTTCATTTTAGTTATATCTCAAAATGTTGAATAGAAAATATCCTCCACCCCCTTTCTTTCTTAGTATCTGTTCTCACTGTCAAGATTGACTTGCCTAGAATCCTTGCAGCATCTCAGCCTGTCCATGTCATTTAGATATTTTTTAAAATCAAGCTCAGGACCTCATGCCTGCTAGGCAAGTGCTCTACCACTGAGAGATCCTCAGAATTTAAAAGAAATCAACAGTAGATGTGCTGTCTTCTTTAAGTACCACCCCATACCTCCTATTCTCTAAATTCTCGTAACTGGATAGTAACACACTTATTCAGCTTGCTAAACACCTTACTTGTTGTCTGCTTTTTCTAGGCTGTAAAAATAGCAGGGTGAACTCCTTACAGTGCAGACTAAAGAGAATCTTGCCATTATTGTTTCCCTTTCCCCACTTGCATGTCTTGACACTGTAATTTTACATTTTCTGTTAAATGTCCTCTTCTGAATTTGGCTCCAGCCTTTTCACATTTTCTGAGTTCCTTCCTATAACTGGATGTTCTTATTAAAGTATCTTTAGTGGCTTTATTATTATTTTTTTTGTTGCACCAGGGTTTGAACTCAGGGCTTCTTTGTGTTTGCAAAGCAGGAACTCTACTGCTTGAGTCACACCTCCAATCCATTTTACTTTGGTTATTTTAGAGATGGCGATCTCACAAACCATTTGTTGGGCTGGCCTCAAATCTCTATCCTCCCGATCTCCGTATCCCAACTAGCTAGAATTATAAGTGTGAACCACTGGCTCGAGCTTTAGTGGCTTCTTGTCACTGAGCCATTGAAGACTCATGAATGTCCCGTTAGACTTGATATTTTCCTATATGTGGGTTATACAAACGTTCTTCACCCAGCATGAGTCTTCCTCTAGGTCCTCTCCCAGTTTCAGGAGCAGTCCTCCATGTCAGCGATAAGTGAGTTTTCTGGTTGTGCGTGGCTCGTCACTATCCTCACGCTACTTGTTCTTCCTTCTGTCTGGAATGTCTTTCCCTGACCTCATCTAGCTTCCATTCAAAGTGAGTAGCTCTTTCAGGTGTCAGCCCCTCTAGTATACCTGTTCCTCCAACCCTTTCTAATCGAGACCATTATGATTCTGTAGTACTATGTGTATATTGATCATGAGATTAATAAGAGAGGTGTCAAAACACTTATCAAACAGAACTATCATTGTGAGTTGATTTTTTTTTTCTTCTTCAGCAGATTAAGAATTACTGGAGGAAAAGTCCTAAATTCAACAGAATTTGTATGCTCTCTGCTGGACATGAGGTTTGGTGCTTAGTGGGTACTCAATATGTATAATTTGTGTGACTCAAAGCATGCATGAATGATGATCTCTGTTTTATTTAGCAAGCTGTCAGGGTTTTTATTTCAGCTTTCACCATTCTGAGCACTTTAACACCTAGAACATGTATTAGATTAGGTCATATGCTAGAAGGCTTGCTATGTGCTTTATATAACTGGATTTCCAAATGGTCCTTGCATCATCAGGAAACCATAGAATTCAGATTCCCAGGCTCCATCCCCAATCCAATGAGATTTAACCTCAGGATTGGCTCTCAGAATCTGCATTTTAAGCAGTCTTCCCAGGCATTCTGGATTCACTATAATAATCACTAGTCAAGCTTCATTCAAATGTAAGAAATATTCTTTATCTCCAAACACAGTGACAACCTTGAGGAGGCAGCACTTAATAAATACATGGGATTATGCTCTCTAGACGTTTTCTGCTCCATTTCAACAGAAATGAGACTCATTTTAGACTTGTTCATATTAAGTTGTTTTAAAAAAAAAAGGTATTAGTTTACATCCAAAGGTGTGTGAAGTCAAACGTCTTGTTTAAAAATCACAGTATAGGAGTATGGTAGATCTGAGATTTTATCTTTCTCTTTAAACTCCTGTGCCACAGCCCACTGTGCTAAATAGGTTGCAATTAGAGTGGAAACCTGGCTGAACAAGGGAAGTCTCTGATCTCAGATGCTAACTGCATCTCTTGGCCACTGATTATTTGATAATGGGAATCCTGGGTTTGTCTTAAAAAGGGTAAGTTTTGCTCTTTGTATTGATTCTGGAATTCCATCTTGTTACAGTGCAGTTGTCGGCTACCTTCCTGTCAGAGACCAATCCATCTTCCTGTGGTCTGAATGCCATCCCCATGAGCCTTCTCAAGAGCTCCCCGGTTGTACATAAACATATTTAAGTCCCTCACTTCTTCTTATTCTTTTTCATTTGTTTGTTTGTTTGGCGATACTAGGGATTGACTCACTCAGGGCCTCATGTTTTAAGTCTCTCGCATCTAAAAATGTCCCCTGACTGTGTACCTCCCTTGAGATAGACTCTTGTTTTGAAAGAGTTATCCACACACACACTTGATCCCACGTTGTCTTGTGCACCCATCACTTCACTGCACACCTCTCAGGGAGGGGTGAATAGTGCCTGTGGTATTGATAGGACAGATGCTTTTGGGTTCCTTCCTTACTCTACTTCTGAGAAGCATGTGGTACAGATAAGCCCTCCACTTACCTGGTATTCTACTATATTTGCTGGTTTTCTGTCAGCTTCTCTTGCTATTCATCTTTGTCTTTAACTTTTTTTATTAATATATGATATTTATACAGGGATTTCATTGTAACATTTCCATATATACATATATTGAGGCTCAGGGGCTCATATCTTTCAACTTGTCACTTGAACATTGGTTTTCTTCAGGATTCTATTTCCAGATTCCCTTCTCAGTGCTTCTCATTGTGTTATTGTGTCTGCTTCTTGGACTTTCATCACATTTCCATCTGATAAGTCCATAACGGAGCTAAGGACTCACATATCCAGCTTCCCAGAAGACATGTCCTGAAGCAGTTCACAGACACTGAAAGTGCACGGTTCTAAGATGAACACTTCTTTAATCTGGAGACCCGTGCTTTCCTTTTTGTCTTTCGTTTCCTTGATGGATCATAAGGTCTTCCTGCAGTTGTAAGACATAACACTTTTTCTCTCATCCTGGCCCCACACATGAGCAGGTTTAAGTCCTACTGGTTCGCCTTAACAAATACTTTTCTCATCTTTACATTTTAGTCCATTACCTAACCATTCCCAGAACCAGGAAGCCCCATCTTAATTGCTGCCACCACCTGCTAATTGTTCCCCTGATCCTGGTGTTCTTCCCATATCATCTCCCTGCACTGTAAGCAAAGTGATTTCTAAAATATGTGTATATTTTAGGTTGTTTTTATGCTTGAAACTCTCAGTGACATTTCTAGTCCTCTGTTCTCTGTCCTCCTCTTCCACTCCTCTCTTCTTTATTCTCCTCCTCCTCTCCCTCCCCTTTTAAGAAAATATCTAAGGTCCATGTAGTAGCTTCATGGCCCAGGTCTTGCTTACTGCCCCACCTCATCTTTTGCTACCTGCTCTCTCACTTCTTGCCTCATCCTCGTTAATTAAGTTTGTTTGTTTTAAACTGTTTATCAGCTTATAGCCCGGACTCTTGCTTGTGTTACTGCTTTCATTCTGTCTTCTGCGATTCTTTCTTCCCGTCTTCTCCCAGTAAGAAAGTTCTCTCTGCAGGTCTTAGTTTAAAGAACACCTCCTCTTGGCAGCCTTCTGACTTGCCAGATCTGCCTTACGGGCACTTCCAGGTGCTTCCACTGTACCTGGCTACTTCCTTAGTTTGTTGACACTACCTGGCTGTGTCTGTGTGTGTTTTGTGACTATTGAGTGCTTTAGGAAGAGGGTCGGTATCTGTGATGTTCCTACTAGTATTGCTGTCATTGACTGCTATCCATGCTGCTAGGTAGAAGTTTAATAAACATTGCTTGAAGAGAATTAAATTAGAATTGATAGTTCTTAGGAGCCAGGGGTCTTACTATTCCTCCCTCCCTTTCCCTTTCCTTCCTTTCCATTTCTCTCTTCTCCTCTCCAATGTCCCTCCTTCTCTCTCTCTCCCCCTCATCTTTCTCTTTCCCTCTCCTTTATCCACCTCCTTCTCTCAATTTAAATTCCCTTATAACCTATACCACAGGAGTGAGAATCTAGGGTAAACTTTAATAATTACATTACTGGTTGATGGAGACCCTTTCACGTTTAATAAAAGTGAGTAAGTGTTTATGTTAAACAGTGAAGAGTAATGTGGATGCTTATATTTGTGTTTCGCTTGTTCTCCAAGGTATTTTCTTCTCATGCAGTGGAACCAATGATGGATTTATCTTGATCATGAGGTATTTATTTATTTTCATGGTGTCAAAAGTGTGAATCTAACCACAGACATAACACGTAGTTAATAAAGCATGGTTTCTATTTAAAAATGTACTGAATAATCACTTCTACAAGCACATACTCAGCCTATTTCTAAATTACCAAGGGCAAGCAGCTTGTTTCCAATTCCATCAACACTTCTTGCTTTAAAGTTGTCTTAATTGATTTCTGTGTTTCTGCCTCTGAACCCCATCTTGGAGCGGCTTTGCGTAAAGGTTCTATTTTTGAGCGTGTGGATGCAAATCCTGGCTCCGTGGCTGTTTGGCCTCAGATGAGATGCTTAGTGCCTATCTTCCTCAGTTTATTCATCTTTAAAATGTCTTTCCTTAAGGGACTTTGATCAGTTTAAAATGAGATAATAAGTAAATACACAGCATAGTGATTGGCTCAGAATAAGGTCTTAGTAAATATTAGGTATTATTGAAGAATTGTGCCTTATTCCTCCTTTGCAATATTCTGTATCATTCCATTATCATTAACAATAATAGAAATAATGCCGCAGCGAAGAAGACGCACTCTCTGTTCTCACTTGGGCTCACATTATACGGAGAGAAATGGCTGCGACATGAACAATGTGAACTAATGGAAGCTAATGGAAACTAATTTTTTAAAAGGTCAGAGAGGGAATTACTAACTATGGGAGCGATCAGGATGAAGCTGTTTTACAAAGAAGCTTTGCAGAATAAATAGGACTTTTCTGAGCAGGAAAGAGTGGGAAGGTGCTACGGTGTGAATGGTCACTCCAAAACTAATGTTGAAATTTAATTGTCATTAAATACCAAGGTGGGACCTTAAAGAGATAATCAGGTCATGAGGGCTCTGTCTTCATGAAGCTATAATGCAGCTATAAGGGAGTGACTTTATTGTAAAGTGAGTCCTCTCCTGTTCTTTTTCTCCTGCCCTTACCTGTCCTGCCATATTATGACACAGTGTGGCAGTCCTTGGTCTTTTGCAGCTGCAGTTCTTCAATCTTGGACTTTCCTGCCTCCAGAACTGTGAGTTGAATAAAGTTTAAAATGTGCCCAGTCTGTACAGCAGCAGAAAATAGATTAAGACAAGAGGGATTTCAGTTAAAAGGAAGGAACAGCCTATTTAAATTCTGTTCAAGGGTACAAGGGTAATGAAAATCTGCTATTTTCACAAAAGTCTCAAATAGTTTGTTATTGGTACCAAAGTAGGCATAAGCATATTCAGAAAAGAGTCCTTCTGGGGCACTAGTTAGCCCTCACTATCAGGCTTAAACTGAAGGGGAAAGGCCAGAGGCAGGGACACCACTGAAGGGCCTGTGGCAGGAGACCAGGCCTCTTAGTTTGAGCTGTGATAACAAATACTGAAGACTGTGTGGCTTAAGCAACAGAGACTTATTTCTCACAGAGAACTCTCTCAGATGGAAGTCCAGCATCAAGACTCGTCTTGGTTCCTGGTGAGAAACTGCTTTGTGGCTTGTAGAATACTACTTTCCTGCTATTGGTTCACACGGTAAGGATTGGGGGAGAGTTTTGTATCTTCGTTTAAGGACACTAATCTCACCATCTGAACTCCATACTCATGATATAAGCACTTCCCAAAGGCCCCTAGAGACAATCATCAACTACCATCTCACTGAAAATTATTGTTTTAACAAAAGAATTTTGCAGGGACAGAAACATTCAGGCCATAGCAGTAAATAAGCCAATCCAAAGACCTGGAATAAGGCAGAAGTAGTGGCCAAATGGAGGGGAGTATGACTTTAACATCTCTATAGAAAGAATAATGAGTAGCAATCAGTGATCATTTGGGTAATTGAGGTGATGGGATGATTTAAGAAAGTGAGAGGCTTCTACTTGCTGGATTGGACATCTGTATCATAGTTAGGATTACCTGGGTAGTCTGCCTTTCCAGACCACAATGCTGCTCCATGGAAAAAGTACTTTTATGTTCTTCCTATACTTCAAAATCTGATCCACCTCTAGCTGCTTGTGCATACTTGTCTTCTACTATTCATCAGCTGTTCAGCAGGCTTATTTACTATCATCTAAAAA